TGCAGTTGTCTGACAGACCAGAGGAAGCAAGGACTGGAATCACATAGGTGACGGCTGTACTTGCAGTTTTCTGCAGGAGAGAAGAAGTGGCTAAAGGGACTTGTCTTCTGTTTTTTGCTGCAGGAGGTGTATCTGAGCTCCTAAAGAAGGCAAAAATATGATGGATATCTCACCACAAAACAAGAGGGGAAAAAGAGAAAGAAGAGAAGGAATCTCAACTTTGAGGGATAGGATTTGGCATCATAGCAATATACAACTCACAAGCATTCAATTTGGTTACAGACCAATATGCAACTCACATGCATTCAACCAATGGGTTTTAATTACAAATTCAAATCACTATCTTCTTCATTAAAATCTGAATATTACAAGGTATTTTTTGAAAAAACGATCATTCAAATTTTAAACCTTATCCTAAATAGAGGTAGGAGACTCAAACTAAAATTTCAACTCAAATATCTAATCCTAAATTCAAATCAAATATTCAATCTCAACTCAAAATCTAATATATAATCCTAAACTAATTTCTCCAATTCCAAAATAATTATTCCTCTTTCAATGAGATAAAGTTTTTAATTTATCTCAAATTCTCCAAAGGTGTCGTCCATTAATTAGCCTAATTCTTTCAATGAGATAAAGTTTTTAATTTATCTCAAATTCTCCAAAGGTGTCGTCCATTAATTAGCCTAATCCTTGTTAGTAGAAGATTTTTTTAATTTATCTCAAATTCTCCAAAGGTGTCGTCCATTAATTAGCCTAATCCTTGTTAGTAGAAGATCTCTTCCTGAAATTGATCTACTTATTCCTTTGATTGTATTGCACAATCTTCATATAAAACATCCAATTCTACTTTCTCATGCAAATGAAATTGTCTCTTCACCTGTGGCATGAATTACTGGGGTCATCCTTTGCCACTTCTTTTCTTCATCTATTTAATATCACTCATTACATCATTCTCTTAGGGGTGAAGGCCTCAAACTTTGTCCAATGTAACTTGTAAGTATCACTGCTTTGTTGTCTGCAAGCAGTCATTATGCAGCCTTCAATACACGCACCTTGATAGGTGTTTCAAATGAAACATGAAAAAAGGTCTTACGCACAGACAGTTCCTGCTTAACAACAGACTATCACATGTGTTATGCTCCTTTTAGATACTGAACAATAAGAACTCTCTCGATGAACCACATACATGCATTTTACTTCTCTATGTTTGAGTGCCTGTGTTGGTCGTCAATCAAAAGGTAGAAATAGAAGAAAGCGTCATGTGTATACTCATTGTTTGTGGCTGTTCTCTCCTCTCAGAAGTTGTTCATTATCAATTAGAAAAAGTTTGGCGATGTTTCATATATGCAATTTATCCAGTGGTTCTTTCCTTTTGGAGCTTGTCTAATTAGTTCATGCGTGTTGCTGCAAATATGCTTTTCCTGGATTAGACTGAGAGGATGGTAGTGGCAACTGAACTTCAGTAATGCATCCAAGCTTGTAAGGCTTTTCCTGGATTAGACTGAGAGGATGGTAGTGGCAACTGAACTTCAGTAATGCATCCAAGCTTGTAAGACATTCAAACTTAATAGGCTGGGTATTCAGCCGAAGGACCAGTGCAGTGGTAAATGAAACTTTACCCTTATAAAAGTCAGACCTTGGTGCTTTTCATGCCACTAACCTACAATTGCTCAGAAAGTGTTATAGACCTTGTAAATTATAGAGATTAACTTAATTAATTGCTCACATTTAGCTTGAATACTGAAAGAAAACACCAGATTCACAAGCTTGCAAATCATGGGTATCATTATTGCTTTTTTATCTAAAAAATAAATATGATTCCTGGTTTTTTGTTATATAGAATATTCTAAATGTTGAAAAGCGAGATGAACTGAGTGGATATGCTACTTACTTATCACATCATCAAGTTTGGGATAAGTGGTTAGGGTTTAAAACATACAGCAGAGCTGCAGGCAGACTGTTCTAGTTCCCTGCTGCAGGTGCAGTTATGTTCTTTTGCTTCTTGAAGTCATGTAGTTTATCTACTAGTAGATTTTTAAAAATAAATATTTATTTCTTCTCCCTTCAACTTCTTTTTCTTCGTGTACATACCTCAGTTTCAAAAGATAGAGATACCTCTGCTGCACTGTTTTTAATTTCGTGTATTTCCGCCATTTTTGGGCGGATAATCCCTCATATGGGACTTGTATGGTTCTGTAGAAGTATGCGGTTGGTTTTCTTGTATTTTCACTTCTTCCTAGAATACCTTGATTTTAACATGTTGGAGAGCAAAAGAAGAATGATTACACCGAGGGACGGGGTTATTAGGGCCATGTGTGTGTGAAGCTCTGATTTTTGGAGCATTGTTCCATTAAATTATGTTTCATGTAAATTATATTCATGCACTTTAACTTTCTCTGTTTAACACCGCAAGATTAAGTAATATTCTGAAGTTGATGTTTCATCTTGTCCACACAAATGATATTGTTTCTAGAAATGCGCATGGAAATATATTATGTTCATCATTTCCTTGAAAATTATGATATTTTCCTCGTGGTAAATGATAAAAAGCAAGCAAGAAGTTTATTATTGCCTTTTGATAGCTATGTCCTTACCCCATGCATGAATGTCTTATCATAGTAAACTATAAATGTCGATATCAAACTTGTTGTAGTAATTTCTCAATGTGTCGTGTTTCAGAATCAAAAGTTATTTGGCCATCATCACTGGATACTATGCAATTTTAGTTTTTGCAAAGTTTGCTTACATTTTCCAGGAAATAAATATCCAAGGCAGAACACTTTCCCGTGATAATAGAGCATACTAGCAAGAATATTATGTTAATAGTAGTCTCTTAAGACAGCTATTGGTCAAGTATTTTTGAGAAACTTGATGTTGGGTCTCACGCCTCGTTTGGTACACGGGAATCGAGTGAAGTGAGAATGGAATGAAGAAAGGAATGGAATGGAATGCTCATTTTCATTCTCATGTTTGGATGCAATTTAGAGAATGAAGCGGGAATGGACAAGTTTGAAAGTTTTGTATTTTTATTCCCACTTAAGTTTCGTATTTTTCTTTATTCCCACTTATGTGGAAATGCCCATTCCCTACCATCTCATTGGGAATGCTCATTCCCATATAAAGTGGTCCCACGTAAAGTGGGAATGAGAGGAGAAGTGAGAATGAGCATTCATGCTTTCAAAATGAGGTGGTATGAAGGAATGAGAAGTGGGAATTGACATTTCATTCCCACTCATTCCTGCATACCAAACGAGGCGTCAAAATATTATGCCTGGTATGATTCTTTGGCTCTTACAATCTCTTTTCTCCCCTTATAAAGCCAGAGCAATATGCTGATTATAATTTTTAGTCTAATGCCTCACTTTCAAAGTACTTACTGCATGTGCATTTCTTTAAGTATTGTATTTTTTTTATTGTCCATGTATCACTAAGTTCATACCTGAATATGAACACTCTTGATTCTTCTTATTTACTCTCTTACTGGCATTCAGTGTATTCCTTCCTGGTTTGTAAGAGAACATCTGCCAAAGGAAAACACAGTGCTGACGGTTTGGGATCCAAGTGGCAAACCATGGAAGATGACTTTCATCTGCAATAATACCCATGGTGCTCTAAGTGGTGGTTGGAGCAGGTTCTCTCACGCGCATAACTTGGAAAAATACGATGTCTGTGTGTTTGAGCTTACTAAGCCCACCCATCTTAAGGTGCATATTTATAGAGTGGTGGAGGAGATAACTCCATTGGTTCGTCGTCGACGTGGTAACTGTAGCTAATTTCTTGGTTAAGGGTTATTGTTGCGCATTGTTGATTCAGGTTCCTTGTATTCAATAATTTGGAATAATATGATGAGTGGTTAGAAATGTTGGATGCTACATCTATGTGGAGGTGAGAGAAGATCATGCCATTAGGCTGTCGATGACAATAAGTATGTATAAGTCCATTGATTCCATCTATTTAATGTTAAATTGTTTTGTTTTTATCATGGCTCTGAACTTGTAAATAAAGTTGCTCAAGGGAAGTTGTGTGTTGGAAGTTGCTAGTTGCTTGAACGCTTGGTGCGTGTCTTTGTTTTATTTATTTATTTATAATTATTTGGAATAAGTATTTCTCTTGAACCTTTCTTGTAGCTTTCTTGATAATTGAAATCACAATCTGTGATCAGAAATGTTTTATTGTGTATATTTAGAAATGTATATCATTATCATATCTGTATCTGTATATGCTATTTGGATTGACTAAATATGGGATATTTATGCGTAACCCCTATCTATTCAATGCCTGTCGTTTACATGAAAGCCCAGAAATGTTGCAAATGAAAAAGGAATCAAGAAACTCAAACAGATCAAATCTACTTCTCTTTACTTAAAAAGTAGGATCCAAAGATTTGATGCTCATGGTACAGTAATGCTACACTAAATTACTGTAGCACGAACAAGAAATCTTCATATCCTCATGTGAGTGTAGAGTAAATTTATTGTTTATACTAATATTTACTGTCATAAAAAGTGAATCTTTGGATTCTCATTTTGGATCCTCATTTTAAGTATAGAGCAATATATATGATTTTTTATTTTAAACATACAATAATTAAAGTAATTGTATTAAATGTTAGAGGGAGTTAAGTTCAAAATACAATGCTTAAAAAACAGGGAGTCATGCTTTGCACGGGGTACACACTAGTTCATTTATAAATGGAAACTGAGGACAACTTTACATCTTCTCTTGAGACATTTACACATTCAAGTATAAAAACCGAAGCAAAAACTGAGAAGAGGAAAGAAAAAAAAAATCATGCTTATCTCTGAGCATGGTGTTATTACATATTTTAGTGAAATGTGCAAGGGGGCAAAGCAATACTTAAATATCTCTTCATCTTAGCCACTTCCATTTATGCATGCATTGGACTTTTTCCTCCATGTAGTCCTTCCCCTAACAATTTCTTCGTTTTTCTTCTCTCCTTTGATCTGAAGAAGATGGGTATATCTCGTTGGGGTGTTATCTAGAAAACCCGATAACCCGCGACCCTCTAGGATCTCTGATGCAAGATTGAATCCATTCATTAGGTTCATATAATTTCCTTCTTTGTCATTGGTCCAATTTTCGTCTGGTTGGCAGAGGGATTGCACTATGTCAGAGCTGCCACACTCTCTTCTGTACTCTAAAATGATACTAGAGAGCTGATGGGTCTCCAAGTATTCATCAGGAATAGTCTGCAGAAAGAGAGTTTTCATGAAGGCATCCATTTTTTTCATTTTTTTCTTTATTTATTGATGAGTGATGAAGGCAGAGAGATTGTAGGACAGGCAAAAGTTAGTTTTAATACTTAACATTTTGAAAGTTTCTAGATGTTTTGAATTCTCATTTCTTTATATATATTGGTGGTTGCTGATTAATGTGTGAGAATATTTCTACATTGAGAAGAATTAGAGAAAGTAATGAATTTAAATAGGAAGTCGAGGTCAATACCTAACAGTTTAAACTTGATTAATTTGGTCTTTAACTTTTACTTAAGCTCCATCTAATTATGGAAGGCAGTATGAAGGTTGATAGTCAGGTGAATGGCTATGTTTCGGTTTGTCACAGACATTGGTAATGATTTAGATGATGGCATGTTGCTATGATGTAGCATTCGTCGGCCATATCAGTTTAGACCCAGACTTGTTTTCCTAAGGATTATGGATGATTTCAAATAAAGAAGATCACACTCTTCAATTACTCTGGTTACTTTCTGAAATTTATAGCATTTTGAGCAGGATTAAGTTTACCTCAAGCATCCATTTGACATACTTAACATTGTTGACATGGTGGTTCATATCCAAATCACTCCTCTTTGGCTACAAAATCAAGTGTTTAAGATAGTGAGATCATGAATGTTTGCTGGAATATAAGTTTCTCTGAATTCTTAGACGCCAAAGAAATCTATATACCTTGAGATCAGAATCCACATACACAGCGTTGTCGTCTAACTTGATTATCTTCTCGGCTGCATCATCTACAGTTGCCTGCCTCTCAATGAACCATGGGCATAACTCCTCCTTCACCTCTTCCGGCATCTTTGAGAGGCGCCTTGTATGCCGATGCATCATGACCCATGTGCTGTACATATGTAACGTCACCAACCATTTCTTTCAGCCAAGCACCCACCCACCCATTTACATGTATATGCATGTGTCTGTATATGCATATGCATATGTATGTACACGTATGCGTATAAATATGCATGTGTGTGCATGTATACATTATATGCGTATGTCTATGTATACGTATGCGTACATGTGTATGCGTGTGTATATGTATACATATATGTATATGATGAAAATTTTCAGCTTTGGCTTGCCTGGTTGCTCGGGCATACACATGCCCGTTATGACGACTTCGGATCAACCAATCTCTCCTCATTGCGTTCTTCCCTGAGGCTCCAACCCACGTATCGATATCCACCACTTCTCCCCTGGGTACGAAACCACATAGAATTCAGTAAATCTTATCCCTCATCGGTAGTTATAGAAGGCATGCATGAAAACTTCTCACCATATAGGATACTGATCAACTTGGAGATGCATTCTTGAAACAACCCAGATGAGGTCATTCTTGATCATGCCGTGAGTTGCCCCGAATCCATCGCCAAGTAGTCCTGATTGCCATACATGATTCAGTGCAGTTTCCTACAGTATGCGTTAAATACAGAGTATTACCCTCATCCAAAATCGATCTGTAAGTCATATGAGAGTGAAATACCCTTTTAGTACTTACTTGAAGAAGATTGAGTATGGTCTCCAACGTTGCGGTTTTATCGGGCCCAACCTCGTAGGATCGAACCACAACAGTCTGCCGATAGCTCAAACCACCTTCAGTGATTAGTCCCATGCGAAAAGGGTCTGATAACTGTTTCTTGTTCGGTATATTCTGCCTGCTCTTATCCCCCCTGACATCTTCAACGGCGACAGAGGCGATACCCGGTGACGTGGCAACATTCGCGGAGAAATTTACGCCGCCCTCTACCGCCTTGTTGCTGGAGGAGAAGCCATTCAATTTGACCGAGCTCTTGTTAGGCTTAAGGCCTTTATGCTCACTGTCCTTGTGTGACGAGCATTTGGTTGTGTAGGAGAGAGTTAGGGAGAGAGTGGTCATCTTGTGTTTTGTTTTGTTTTGTTTTATTAAATTTTTGCCTCCAAATTTCTTTGAGCAAAGTTGGCCTTGGTGTTGCTTATATAGTTGAGAATCCAAAGTTGGCGGAGGATCCTTTGGATTGTGGGGTCGCTAAGGTCCAAAGGTAAGAGTTTTGTCTTCGCCGTGCGTTTGAAATTCTCAAGGATAAAAGTTTGAGGTCTGATTGAAGGAGTGGCCCAAGGTTGAGGGGATTTGAGAGGGGAGATGCATAAGAAAGATCACCAATTTCACCCTCGCATAAATATTTTAGAGGATGGCGTGCTTGGCTTTGTCATTGTGCTTGTGGAGCCCACGAGGTGTCCTTATTATGTTTCTCACTATGTGCTTTGGATTATTGCGTCACGCACAATATATATATATCACCCTAGATCATCCCAAGGCTCTATGGGAATTAATCATGCATTTTTACGTCAACAGAATTAGTTTTTGATGCCAAACGATTAAACTTTAGACTGTGCGTTGCTTAGAGTTCTTTTGCTACGACTTAATCTTGTCTCTTATGAGCGGAGTTAGAATTAGTTTTTCACATAGGACACAATAATTAATTACACCATCCTTAAAAAAAATTAAAATTGAAAAAAATAAAATAAAAACATGCATCTACTTCCTCACAACGAAGGAGATTAGTTTTAAGTTTTTTTAGCTCCGTCCAAGATCTGATGAGGGCACATTCATAATGAAACAAATAAATTAAGATGATGTTTGCTAATCCAATTGAGGCACTAACACTAGGAAATTATTACTTTTATCATTGTGATAAATTGACCATCTTATGATGTCATGCGTGATATAACAACGTTGCAACTTATGAGCGACATTAAGACTTTGATGATAGTCTAGGATCTGTCAATTAGTTACAGGCTTTATATAAGGGGTTAGGGCAAATAAGAGATTTATTTTCTCCTTTAAACGTAGGATCCAACTAATTATAGCATTTTTCATGCCAAAATGAACCGTGAATCCTGTAGTTCCTTTATAAACTTTTTCTGTTTGATTGCATATTAGATCGAAAAATGAGACAAGTAGAATTTAATCGTACACAAATTTGAGACAATCGCTTCCTAAGATCTAAAGATAACATAAAGGAATTGCAACGAACACAAACACAATTTCTTACTAGATATGTGCATTCTAGTAATTTTTCTTTATTTATTTATTATTATTATTTGTACTTAGAAAGGTGTTAGATCCATAAAATTTTCATCAGTGCCTAATTTTTTTGTCTAAAATGAGAACGATAAATGAGAATCTGCATAGTGGACGTGTCCTCTTTTAACCCAAGCCATTATCCCGAGTGCTGAAAGAGGGGAATAAAAGATGGGAGGCCTCCATTAAAGGCCACCAAGCTCTTCCTAATAAAGAGCTTCAACAGAATCCTCCAGCAAAATTTTATAGCTCAGAATGTCGCCGTAATCAAACTCCGCCTTCGCTCAATTAAAAGAGGGGCCCTTAATCAATGTATTTGACTTCGGTGCCATGCTCCGATAATGACATACGTTACGCATACAGTGATTAAGAATAAGACATCTTACGGCCCTGTTATTTTTTCCAATTATTTCCCCCATTTTTTTTTCATGAAGATCGTCTTCGAGCATCAACTTTACCTGGCTACACATGACAAAATGGAATTATGGAAGACGCCGATGAGTATCTGTACTTTTTCTTCCCATGTTTCCATTTTGGTGCTTTGGTGGTCGTATCTGAGTTCATATATCTGGAAATTTGCATCAGATGATTTAATTTTTAAGGTAATACTTGGAATTAGCATCTTATAAAAAAAAAATTCAAGGAAAAACGTCCGATAGAGTACTATCGATCATTTTGCCCATGACATCTGAATATTTCGTTCGCCTATTAGCTTCTCAAGATTTAGCAAAAGTTACAGCAAAGCCAACAAATATATTGATTTGCCCTTCGATATATGCAATACCCAACAATTATGAAATAGTTAAATTTAGCTTTGTACCTCCGACATTCTACCTTATCGGCCATTGAGCAAATTCATTGCAGCAGGCGGATCCAAACGCATCTACATCGACACTTCACCCGTCTCTTTTCTACTTTCCTTCAATCAAAGCTCGTTATGAAACAATAATTCCGACTAGCACCAATTATTCCCACCCGAAATTTCATAAGAGGCTCCCATGTGTTTATTCGTTAGGAGCGTACTGGCCGAAACAAATCATATTTATTGCAATCTTAGTTTGGTAGCAAACATGGCTTACATCAGCTAACTACTCCGAAAAAGTCCAGCGCAAGCGGCGTTTATTTCTCCCGGATAAAACACCCAATAATACGGTGCCAAACGCAATAAGGTCCAAGGAGCGTATATTAGTAGCGGGGCCAACAAATTAAAGTGATGGAACCACCCAAGTACTGAAATCTGAACGAAATTGCATTACAACCTGTAATTTTATCAATCTCTAATGGATTACTTCCATTTACAGGCCATCAACATGTTAAGGTTACAAGCATTCGTGGTGTTGCTTGCTAAAAGAACACCCGGTAGAAGGGAGAAAGAAAAAGGACAGCTTACAGAAGTTAAATTTACATCGATCGCTAGGTTCTTCAACTTCATGGATCAAGAGAACTTTTAAATAAATGAGCTAATCATTTATAGCTGATAATAGATGATGCCTCTGCAACTGAGCTAATATAGTTTCATTCATGACACGTGCATGCATTTACGTCCGTTTCCCCCTTACAGTTCGTCATCGTCTCCACTCTCCAGGGTACCAACTTCACAGCTTTTGTCTTTCAAGCTTCACCAGTAGTAAAAATAACAGTCTACTATTTGTAACTTTCATGGTCTAGTAATTTTTGAAGAATGGCCTGAATGAAGAAATGATGCTATTAGTATTTTGACTCTAAAAACGTAAATTATCCAAAATAACTGGAAGACGAACGACAGAGCATGTTTGACAACTTGGTCAAAGCGGATTACAATCCACTTTTGCGTGTTTGGCAACCACAAACTCAGTGTGTTATTTTGGATTATAATCCACCATAAAATAATCTAGGATTCCTAGGTTATAATCTACATGTTTGACTGAGTAAAAGACAAAATTGCTCTGATTTCGTTACGTCTCTATCTTTCCCCTTCTCTCTTCTCCCACTTTTAGGGGTTATTTTTACCATCTAATAATATTATAAAAGTATGTTGGTATGTTAAAACATTTCTTCCGAAAATGCTCTTTAAAACACATATATGCATACATCTCTAGCACATCCATACATTAAGATATATACATTACATACTAATAATAAAAAGGAGAATATGCTTCCATCCCCCAAAAGTCAAGGAAACGTGCTTCCCACCCCCAAGACTTTGTCAATGGGTGTTTTACCCCCAAAAATAAAGATTCTGTTCTTTGAGCCCCAAAAACACAAAACCCAAGAGATTAAAATATGTGAAGACCATAATACCCTTCTCTCTCTTTCTTTTTTTATTAAAATATGATGAGAATTATTTTATTATTTTTGTTTTCTCTCTCTCTTTATCATAATGTACTGAGATGATAGTTAAAATGATTGATGAGGATTATTTTATTATTTTTATTTTTGTTGTTTATATTGGGAGATTGTTAAAGTTACGGGTTAATTGTTAAGGTTACGAGTTAATTGTTAATGTTACGGGTCAATTGTTAAGGTTATGAATCCCCCCTCTCTCTCTCTATCATGATGTTACTTTGATGATATTAAAATGATTGAAGAGGATTATTATTTTATTATTTTCGTTTTTTATTCTTTTCATATTTTTAGAATATTTGTTGTTAAGGATAATGGTTGGTTGTAAAGGTTATGCATTGTTTGTTAAGGTTACGGGTTTGTTGTTAAGGTTATGGGTTTGTTGTGTAGGTTACGGATTTATTGTTAAAGTTACGGGTTTAATTGTTAAGGTTACGGGTTTAATTGTTACGGTTACGATTTAATTGTTAAGGTTACGAGTTTAATTGTTAAGGTTACGGATTTAATTGTTAAGGTTACGGTTTTAATTGTTAAGGTTACGGGTTTAATTGTTAAGGTTACGGTTTAATTGTTAAAGTTACGGTTTAATTGTTAAGGTTATGGGTTTAATTGTTAAGGTTACGGGTTTAATTGTTAAGGTTACCGGTTTAATTGTTAAGGTTACGGTTTAATTGTTAAGGTTGCCGGTTTAATTGTTAAGGTTACGAGAGAGAGAAGGGATCTATAACATTAACAATTGACCCGTAACCTTAACAATTAAGCCCGAAACCTTAACAATTAAACCCGTAACCTTAACAATTAAACCCGTAACCTTAGCAATTAACCCGTAACCTTAACAATTAAACACGTAAGCTTAACAATTAAACCCGTAACCGTAACAATTAAAGCCGTAACCGAAATAATTAAACCCGTAACCTTAACAATTAAACTCATACCTTAACAATTAAATCGTAACCTTAACAATTAAACCGTAACCGTAACAATTAAACCCGTAACCTTAACAATTAAACACGTAACCTTAACAATTAAACCCGTAACCAAGGTTATTGATAGCGGATCGCGTCGCGTCGCGGCGAGGTACCGCTAAGGCTATTGCGCGCTATTGCGGCGAAATAGCGGCAAATAGCGCACAGTCAAATAGCGGACAAATTTAAATATATTTAAATATCCTAAATAATAAGAAAATTCATAAAAAAATCTAAAAATTCTACAAATGCATACTTAATGCCTAAACATGAAGTAGATGTGTACAAGAACAAGAACAAATAACAAGAACAAATAAATAAACAATAACAATATAAGTACTATAACGGTAGAACTTTATTTCTTCACTCTTTATTCATACAATAACAATATAAAGTACTATAACAGTAGAACTTTATTTCTTCAACTCTTTATTCATACAATAAATAAACATGTTATATTTCTTCATTCATTCAATAACTCAATAAGTTATAAATTTATAATGATTTGATTGATTTCAAATGTTGATTATACAGGTTTTCTGGAAGTTGGAAATCTCAAGGGCACTAATCATTTCGGTGCAGCTGCTGGTTATGAAGATCAACCCGTTTATCGCATACATATTAATTTGTTGTAAATTTCTTGTATTATTAGTAAATAACAATTGATAAGCTTGTTGTATGAGTATGAATGAAACTATGAAAAAAATCAAGAAATATAGCATCATTGATTCTCGAAATACTGCAGTCCTGAACGTGATGGAAACACCATTTATGGAATACATATTAATTTGTTGTAAATTATTTCACGTATATTTTCATGTAATCATGTGATTAAAGGTTAAACATCTGTAAATATCAAACAAGAGTCCAAGACAGGTGTGCTAACGTGCCATGTCTAATAAAGATGGAAACACCATTTATTATTGACCTTCTTCAGAGTTATTCTTGTTTATTATCTAATATAGGTAAAGGAACAGAAAAATTAGTTATGCAACTATGCAAGTTGGAGAAAGCAATTCAGGCACAAAAGGAATGTGAGATGAGGTAGGAATTCCCAAAATTTGGACCTAGTCCCATAATTTTATACATTTTCCTCTGTGGCAGATCTAGCCAACAGAGATGGACGCCGAAGCCTGGAGCCTGGAGTGGAGATGATGACGTCGATGGACTCCGGAGCCTGGAGCCTGCAGCGGAGATGATGATGTCGAAGGAGCCTAGAGCGGAGAAGATGGGAGCGGAGCTACGGAGTGCGAAGATGATGAAGTCGAACCGTCGAAGGAGCCTGGAGCGGAGAAGATGGGAGCGGAGCTGCGGAGTGCGGAGATGATGAAGTCGAACTGTCGAAGGAGCTGGAGCGGAGAAGATGAAAGGTGGCTAGGGTTCGGGAGTGAACTGAGGGATTCGTCGCTTTTTTAGCCTCTTTTAACAAGCGGGTTCGGGTTCGGGTCGGGTTTGGGGCAAAAAAATCAAAACACATTTGATAGCGGGTTAGCGGTTTTAGCGGGTTTGGCCGCTTTTATCCGCTATTGAGCGCTTTTACGCGCTATTCGAGCGCTTCGCGGTTTTTTCCGCTAAATCCCGCCGCGAACCCCCTACGCGTAGCGCTGAGGGGCCGCGATCCGCTATAGCCCCGCTATTGACCGCTATTTACAACACTGCCCGTAACCTTAACAATTAAACCCGTAACCTTAACAACAAATCCGTAACCTACACAACAAACTCATAACATTAACAACAAACCCGTAACTTTAACAACCACCCCATAATCTTAACAATAAATGCATAACCTTTACAACCAACCATTATCCTTAACAACGAATATTCTAAAAATACGAAAAGAATAAAAAACGAAAATAATAAAATAATAATATTCTTCAATCATTTTAATATCATCAAAGTAACATCATGATAGAGAGAGAGGGGATTCACAACCTTAACAATTGACCCGTAACATTAACAATTAACTCGTAACCTTAACAATTAACCCGTAACTTTAACAATCTCCCAATACAAGCAACGAAAATAATAAAATAATCATAATCAATCATTTCAACTATCATCTTAGTACATTATGATAAAGAGAGAGAGAAAACAAAAATAATAAAATAATCCTCATCATATTTTAATAAAAAAGAAAAAAAAGAGAAGGGTATTATGGTCTTCACATATTTTAATCTCTTAAGTTTTATGTTTTGGGGGCTCAGAGAACAGAATCTTTATTTTTGGGGGTAAAACACTCATTGACCAAGTCTTGGGGGCTCAGAGAACAGAATCTTTATTTTTGGGGGTAAAACACTCATTGACCAAGTCTTGGGGGTGGGAAGCACGTTTCTTTGGTTTTTGGGGGCTGGAAGTATTTTTCCCTAAAAAAAACGTTACAATTATTCATCTTCCATAAATCGTTATAAATTACTATTATAACATTCCCCCACTAAGTCTTGACATTACACACTAATAATGAAAAACGTTACAACTATTCATCTTCCATAAATCACTATAAATTACTATAGAATCTTATCAAATTTCTCTAACCAAAATTCTAACTTTTAATCAAAAATTCATATTGAAAAGTATGGAGACACAATTGCAGCACTTACAAACCGCAAGAAGTGTGAGTGTGTCAATGGTAACATCATTGGCGTAGTACAATCGAATTGAATGAGGGGATGGTAATGGAAGCATCAGTGTACCAGTTTAGAGAGCAGAGAAAACCCCGATGAATGCGACAATGATACGAATGTATCTTCTCTTCGGGAGCTTAACGATCCTCATGGGAGCTTGAGAATAGATGATTCTCATGATAACATGAGAATAGGGGTGTAAAACAGTACAGTAAAACGCAGGTGAAAGCGTGGAACGAGACGACAAGCAGCAGATTTGAAGAATCCAGTTTTCAGCTCGTGAGTCGACTCATCAGGTTGAGTCGACTCATGACTGTCATGAGTCGACTCACGAAACCTAGCCATTTTGTCAAAAGTTTCTACTCGGTCGACTCATTAGTTTATGAGTCGACCCATGTGTCATGAGTCGACTCATCTCCGTCATGAGTCGACTCATCGACGATTTCCTGGTTTGGTTGGGTTTCTGTTCACACGAATTCATGTTGGTTTTAGGCTTGGTTATTTACCAGATTGTCATCCACGTTTGTACACCTATATAAAGGATTGTTTTAGGATTTCTAAGCAATCAGAGGGAATTAAGAGAGATTCTAATCATTGTATTAGGGTTTAGAGAAGATTGAGAGGTTGTTCTCGATTCTAGTGAGAGAGATTCTAATCATTGTATTAGGGTTTAGAGAAGATTGAGAGGTTGTTCTCGATTCTAGTGAGATTATGAGGAAAATTTTTGTAATAATTGATTCTTCATAATCTAGAGAATGTATTTTCCTTCGCCATACTGAATTATTCTTGTGTTTTAGTTGTCTTCTTCTCAACCCACCTTTTGGTAATTCCGCGATCAAAGGGTGCTCACACGGCAACTCGTATCAGACAAAGAAGACGGTCCTGTATTTTATCAAAATCTGCAGCTATTTCAGTCATAAACTAATTGGTTTTTCCCCTTCCATCTTCGTATATGTTTTTGTCTTAGCATGTAAATTGGTTTCCAACTCCTAGGCATGTTTGTAAATACGCTAAATTGTTTGTATAGTTTGGTTGAATCTCTTAATGCATTATGCTTATTCTCGGGATAAAGAAAGTTTTGTCCATGACAATGCATTATAAGTGTAATTGCTTTCACTTATATCTGTGTAAAGGGTTAATTTTCGTTATATGGTCACTAAGATAATACATTAATATTATTGGGTAATAAAGGACAAATAGAAAGTGCAAGAAGATCAATTTAGAAAATGATATAGTTAGTTGGTCCTGAGGATGCTTATAGAATGGATTACTACTACAATTTTAAGAGTATTATGAATTTTCTGCTATTAGTTATTAATTTTCTGCTATTAATCTACTATTTGAGTATAATAGTTAATGTGTGATAATTATAATTTATATTGATATCACATTAATATATAATATTTATATGAATTATTAAATATGTGCAATTATCAAATATAATATGAGTAAAAAGTTATTTATTTACCAATTCAAATAAATAAATATATAACATAACATTACAGTAATATGAAAAGTCGTCAACTTTTTATTATTCCACTATCTTCTTAACCCCCCTTTAATAAGGAACTCATTCATGAATTGGTTAGAACATTTCTTCCAAAAATACCCTCCGAAACACATACATGCATACATCTCTAGCACATCCATACATGCATACATTAAGATATATACATACTTAATTTTTCATAACCTCCCTATTTATTAGCATCAAATTTTTATTTAACCACCCACTAATTTAATTTTTCATAACCTCCCTATTTATTAGCATCAAATTTTTATTTAACCACCCACTAATAACATTCCCTCACTAAGTCAATGGTAACATCATTCATGAAGGGTTACCCATTTTTCCATTAACCATCTGTAAAGTGTATTATTATAACAAATAGGGTAAATTATACATAATTCCCTTTTCTATATCTTAAGTTGCACTAAATCCACCTTAATATACTAGCACTTAATACACTTGAAATGCAATTTTAGAGATATAAATTGCAAGCATCAAATATAAATTGGGGGACTCTAAGAGCTAATAATAAACTAGATGAGGTTTAATAATTTCTAGAAAGATAATTTCAAAATGACACCCCTCTCTCTCATGTAAATGTACTTGAGCATCTTGCTTTACAAATAGTTTATATTTTAAAATAGAAACATGTGTAAGCTAATTTTCTATGCAGAGAGTTGTTGTTTTCGATAAAAATAACTTATTCATGACCTCCTACAAATATATTCATTTAATCTTTATGCATTAAGTCTCATTTCATTGAATAAATATTGATTCTTTATTAATTACTATAATAACTTAATAACTATTCACTTTCTAACCTAATAGAACCAAAAGAATTCTAAAAAATTGATCAACAAGTGTGCCTACGTGCAACGCACGTATACGATACTATTTTAACAAAAGGCACATGGATTATAAACCACCTCTTTACCAAACACCTAAAATTTTAATCCACTTATATCATAATCTACAAATGGACCCAACTGGATTATAATCTTGAATTGCCAAACAAGCCTTTATATTGCTCCAGTGAGAACACTAAAGTAGTTTAGTATGCATGAAAGAGTCAGATACCAGCACCACCACGTTGCTATGATTTTTGATTAGTGAACCCAAAACATAAACTTGTAGGTCGTTGGACTGACAAATTAACACAAAAGCCCCAAGGAAAATATGGTGATTTCCTCCAGATCATTGAAAATGATTAATGGGTGACATTCTAGTTTTCTAAAACAAGCATGTAATGTTCTGGGCAGAAAGTGGAGAAGAAAAATGCAGGCAACTTACAGGACAAGAAGAGTTCGACTTCAATCCCTGATGCAGCTCACGAGGAGATAACAGAAGTTTCACTGGACGAAACTCAATAGACAGACTTCGAGACCTAGGATCACTGAAACCAATTAACTCTCGTTCCAGGAGATGCTCGAAAGCCTGCAGTATATGACCAAATAAAGCTTTATCGTAATGCTTTTTCACTTACACTATTACAATGGACAAATTGGTATTTATGAGGAAAGACAAACCCGTAAACAAACATTGTGTGCATAATTGTCAGAGGTCTTATAAGCATCTTGTATAGACTTATACTCTGTCAAAGCCATGATCAACCAGTTAACAACCCATGGTCAAATCAAGTTTTGCCCCCAAGTAAAGCTTTGTATACATCTTGAAGAAATATTAGCACAATAAAGATTACGGTTGACCTTTCATTATAGAGCTGAAGTTGTATGAGTTCTGCTCTTTAATCTCCAGCCTGTTCATGCAGACTAACATATACAGCTCCAAGATTGAGACATCTATGCACCAAGTAAATCATCAAGAAAGAGAAAATTTCAGAAGAGTGCATGCAGCAGTAAACAAAAATTATTTGGATGAAGAATCTTATATCCAACTAGATAGCATCAAATGACTGAAATCAGATTGTAGATGATAAACAAAGGCAAGCAAGAAATAGTGTGATGAAATATTGAAATATCTCACTTTGGATTTTTTTTTTGCAATAGAAAAAACATTCAGATGGTACTGTTTCCATTCAGGAATAATACCACCAAGCGAGCATTTCTAAACTGACTTAAAAAATACTGGTGCACAAATGTCCAGTTTAGGTCCATAAAAGTGTGTTAGTATATAAAATTATAACCCCAAACCCTCAGCACGAGTTCTGAGTTTTGGTGCACTATAGGGGCTTTGAGAAATATGAAGTTCAACTTACCATGATTAACTACATGAAGATATATTTTCCAATCATGTACTGCATTAGTCCATTAGAATGAAATTAAAGCTAAATTATATAACAAATACAGGAGTGCAAGTTCAATGCATAGAATGGCTACCTAACAGAGCATCAAGCTTGGGCTGCCTCTGAGTGCACGGAAGAGCAGTTTTAAAGTTCTCCAGGGACAGCAATCCAGACTCTAAATCCAAATAACTTACAACCCTGAAACTGTAGTTTTTTTAAGATCAATTATAACCTAAGCAGGTAAGACTGTCATCAACAAGAGAGCATTCATGCCCAGACTACTCATGCAAATGATGGGAGAACTTACAGAAACCTCAACAGGTTGCTGATAGTGCCCTCAACGTTTGATAGTGAATTAAGAATTTCTTTGAACCTTTTATCACCTAAAATTTTCTGCAGCATGTGGATCAATAAAATTATGGTTGTGGTCAGGACTTGAGAGATTTATGACTACTTATGAAGAAAGTAAACTTGAATTAACTTCTAAAGTTAAATTAAAAAACATGAAAATAAGTACTCTCTATATAAATAAACAGATTCAGATGGTAACAGTTAATCTGTCTGTATCACCTGGCATCTAAGAAACTAAATCAGTTTTAGAAGATTGTTTAATTTACAGGCCTCATATACGAAGAAGCATGCCAAAATGTTTCAGTTTTCTCAAAGAAATGCTCCCAAAAAGGATACCTGGACCGCTGAATTGAAATCTCTGATGTAGCTTGAGGGAAAACTCTCATCTTTTGGCAAGTATAAAAGATGTTCCAACAATCTGCAGTTAGTTGGGAGAAAAGTCAAAATTAGAACAAATGGAACGAATTTATAGCTGAAGTTGTCATGATTTACAGCATGCAAGCGAATAGTTGAACAACCTTACTGTGTCTTCTGATGTTGGAGGAGCACATAGAAGCTTCCTATGTGAAAACCGAGATCTTACTCTTTTTTCTAAGAGCTGGTCTGCATCCTGAGACAGATAGTCCAGCATAAACATATTACAAACAACAGTCTATGGACGGGATTTTGATTTTCTTTTTCAAGTTAGTGTACAATACTTTTGTTAAATTAAACCAAGTGTTGCTGCAGGTCCAAGCTGAGAAGAATGATGTACATTTTGCTACTAGTAAAAAACTAACAGAACAGAAGACTACCACATGCCTATCCTAAAAGCATATGAATAGTCAGAGTCTGGTCTACATCCAAGTTTCCCTTGACATACTTTCCAAATTGCTTATGGCCTTACCCATTGTTGAGGTTGCTCTGATATTTTTATTCATAATCAATTTTGAGATGTGTATGGTCATTAAGTAATTCATAACCATAGGATTACACTTGTCACACATCTAAATGTGCAATTTCCACAGATACATGTAATGTTAAAGAGGCATGTCGATGGGGATTGAAGAAGGGGAAAAAAGAATAAAGATAAGAAAATTACTTCTCTCATGACATATTCAGACAATTATTCAAGAAAACTAGTCTTTTATAGACTGACAAAACTTGGTGATTAAAAAATGATACATAAAAAAAGTACAAAAATTAAACTAGAAAAGCAAGCTAGACAAATGTCGTGAATCTAACAAAAAATTGCATCTACATTCACATTGCAGATGATTTCGAGCCTGCAGGATTTTATGCACCCATGGTTTTTCTGATGGATGATTTCAAACCCTCAGATTTTTAGATGAAACTTTTCATATGGCTAAGTTACTGTTGCTGCCACAATTTGTTTCAAATTCTGAAAACAGCAAAAGCCTAGAACAAAATATACAGGTTATTGTAGCCAACTCGACTTAGATATGCAAGGTGTTTTCCAACACAAAGAATGGAACTGAAGAGTATATGAAGCATTCATTACAGGTGTTTCTCCATGTGGTTCTAAACTTTCACCTCCCTCCCCTCTACTCTATGCTTAAACCCACAGATGGAGCTATTCCTTCCAGACAACCCATTGGACCCAGTAACAGCTACATGTATTATAATTTGGATATTGAATGTTCTTGCTCCCAGTTAACCAATTCGAATATGATAGGCATAGAGCAGTAAATTAATACCAATAAATGTTTATGAGACACTTCTTGAAGGTTGTTGAACAGTAAAGTGCACAAGAAAGGAAAATAAGTTCTTGTGTGAAAAAGCTTAGCACTTGAACTAAAAGGGAAAGTAGTTAGACAAAGCTGATCGAGGAAAAAAAGGGCGGAGCATGTATTTAACAATTTATGTAGAAAAATATTTTTAAAAGTGGAGGAGACTCATAAGGAAGTCATACGTTGCTAAATAGAATTTCCCGAAATTCTGGTTCCCATAGAAGATATAGACAGTTTAGACTTCAAAAGATGTACCAAACATTAGCCAAATCAGTGCATTCTCTTTCACAGTAAAGACCAAAGCATTCAGCAGAAGTGAATAGAACTTACTACAATTATATACAGCTCTCAGCAAATAAAATCATTTAGCAATATACTAAAATAACTATGATGAGTAATTGTCCATACCAAGCGACAGCTCACGCCAATCACTACAGACTGGGAAGTCAATGTCTGCATAGCATCTAGCAAGCTATAGAGCAACCGTTGTTTTCCCTGAGAATTCAAGAATAGAAATGGAACCAAGTCCAAGTCATTGATATTAATGAGAAGAACAAGTTCCATTACTTAATTTTACATAATGAACTGTTAAATTAACTTAAGATGCATCACCTCAAGCAAAGATTCTTAAGATGCAAATATTTTTTGTAGCAAGTGCAAAATTGATATAGTTCATATCTGTTCTTGTAATACAAGACCTTAGTTGCATAGGTACGGGTATGAGAACTGGTACAAGTATGGGTACATGACACAACAAATTTGTAAAAGGTAGGGTACGGGGACACAACTATAAATATGTATGTCATTTATGTTTATATGTATTAACATTGATAATTTACATAAGACCAATGTATTAGAAATAGATGTAAAGTGTAGAATATACATTCATGAAGCATATGAGGAGTGTTTTATATTAAAAGCTGTAGTATATAATTGAATATACGCTTGAACAAATGTATGCATATATTCAAGAAGTGTCCAAAAAGTTTGGGTATAGGTATGGGTACGTGTCGCGTACACGTATGACTTCTAAATAAAAGTACCCTGGTAACATAGGTTAAAACTAATTTTGGGAAATAATTATTTTTAAAAAAACATGATGATATTGAATCAAAATGGAACATAAATTCTTCATGAGGAATACATTCATGGGTACCTGAGTGAAGAGGTCAAACTCATCTAGGACAAAGATGACTGTCTTGTGAGCTAATCCACATTCTCTAGCAAGAAAATATATTAAACTTTGTAAAGATAGTGCACCCGAAAGGAACCAGCAAGTTAAATAATGATAAAATAAAAGTACAGGAATCAAATTATGCACGAGTACAACCCAACTAAAATGGATTTCTACTCACCGCAACATGTCTATCATGAACTGAGAGTTATCATCAGATGAGGCCTACAAAGAGGTAAAACCAACAGGAGACTGAGAACTCCTGTATAACTTACTGCATAATAATTAATGAAAGAAAAGTGAGAGAAATACCGCTTTTGAGAATAAAAGTTGGAGTTCTGAGCAAAGTTGTCTAGCTATTTCCTAAAAGATCCAAAAACATACCAATAAGACAAATAAAGGTTCACACAAAATATGCCCAGATAGGTATAACTAAAATAACCGACAACATGCGTACAAAATATAAGTCAAAGAAAATGTTGTCAGAAAATATCAGGCAACAAAATTTCCATGTCGTCAAAAGAACTCAACCACCAGATTCAAGCATTGCTGTTAACTGAACCGTCTTAAGAATAATACTGATAAACAGACTGTCAATAGTAAACAATTACACATTCTTACAAAAACCAAACCTATTACACATAAATAACACAAGATAAGTCCTCCCTGAAAATATAGGTGAAAGTGAAACTCATAAATATGCAAAGTTTTCTCAAGAATAAAAAAAATATAAATGACCAATACCTGATAAGGCTGATATCAGAGTAGTTGGTGTCCACTCAAGTGATAAACATACAAAAAGTGGCTCTTCAAATTTTGTGTTTTTGTAAAAAAGTGAAAAGATCCATATGGAGCACCACCATAAACTTTTTGCCTTCACCACTTGAAATTGACTTAACATGCTGTATAAAGATTTCCCTGGTTGGCTTGTGTACATCCAGTCAAGAGATATACAGTTGACACCTCAAAACTAGATTGATACAAGTGAAAGACCTACTCGGCGCCAAGATTTATTAACATATAAGGTTTTCAAGGAGAGTACAACGGATGTGACACCTATAACTGCATAAGAACTTGAACTTACAACTGTAGTTGACTATGTTTTTTATTGCAAAACCTGAACGAGTATTTGCTTCCATGGAGAGTACTATGGATGAGTGCAGTGTTTTATCTGTATAGTGAATTATAGAGAGACGAGGAGGGTTCATTGTGGACATCTAAAGGTCATAATGTCATATTGGCCCTTCAGATCAATCTCCAACTCCAAGTAGCAATCTCATTATGTGGATTATATGTTAAACTAACTTGTTTAGTTAGATTGTCCTTCCTTAAACCACATGAATCAATTTAATTTGTGCAAAACAGTCTCTCTTGTTACATTTTATTGCATTATATAAGCGAAATGCAGTTGCTATAGTAAGTAGAATTAGCTCACTAGATTTTTCAAAGTTTATTGTTCTTGTTCCTATTCTACTATTAATATCTCTCTTTGTTGAGGAAAGTATAAAGCCTTCTTGTTCTCTCTTTCATCTCTATAGTATGTTGGTTTTCCAAGGATTTCCTACTGCAATTCTAATTTTCTCGAGGATCAGAATATTTGAGGATGTCAAAGGACCCTGCCATCGCACCAAAAATTTAAAATTATGATGAGGCTTGCTTTGATTATTTGATACCATGTCAAAGGATCCTGCCACTAAACCAAAACTCTGCAGTTATGGTGAGGGTTTAGGGTTATAACTTTATATTCTAACAGAGGATAAGTGAGGACTTATACCGAAAGAAAGAACTAACTCCTTGGAGACCATATATGCTTGCTTGAACTTTCAAAGCAAGTTGTTTTTTTGTTTGAACACCTTGGGACCCAATAAGGACCAGACTGTAGGAACATAATAGGATATAAGTGTGAAACTGTAGTCAAATTTCATTGTGATGAATGTGGATAATATGGATACCAGGAATGTTCTCATTATTGCTGATCTGGCCTTAACAATCATGTGGTGTTATGATAGTGTAAAAAACACCTCTAGTTTACTTTTGTTCCGTCTGTTTTCAATTAGCTATCTCTCATATCAGTCTTTTTTAGTTATAGAGTCTGTTTCTACAATGACAAAGGATAGACTCAAGTCGTGCCTCTATTGACACACATATTATACTAGTAAGTTTTCTTTTACCAAGCAATATGCAATCCCTGCTTTTAAGTTGTGTCTCGTTTAGCTGCTGCTTCTTCTTTCATACTTTTAATCTAAATGCTTTAAGTTTAGTGCCACTATTATGGAAACAAATCAATATGTCACATAGCTATTAGACAAAACGGACGCAGGAATACAGCGTCAGATTATTATGTAGCCGAATTTACAAAGATGAATGAAGTACAAGCCTGAATCACCTAAAATAACAGAGAGCAGTTGTTCACACAATCAAATCAAAATGATTGCACACCGTAACAAGATTACCTGTGGTCATAAACATAACAAATAAAAATGAAACCCAACCTTCAGTGCGCAATTGTCATCACTGTGTAGAAGCCCATTTAACCTAACCTGACCATCAAATATAACAAATTAATTTACACTAAAAGAGAAATAATAAAAACATTAAGCCTTATGAAATCAAGTTAAGATGATTGGATCATACCACAGTAATCATGTCAGGATGCTCAGCCTTTAAATCTTCAAGAACTAGGTCCACCACCTATATTTTGTAATAACTAATTGTTACAATTATAAAAGTAAATGTATAAGATAAATCATAGTTCAAGGTTCTGAAAAGTTTGTTTCCATCAAAGAATTGACAGATAGATCTCTGCACATGGTATTAGAAGTCATGCACCCACATGCACGCACGCTTGCGCGCATGATACACACACATACGCAGCATGTAAGACTATTGGTCCTTCTTTTTTAATAACAAATTTGTTTGGAGTAAGATAGGCATATTTAAAAAGAACTGATCACTCTAATACTTAATAGAAAAGAAGATATTCTATTTTAATTCTCGAACAATAGCAGAGAAAGAATAATCAGTCCTTAGAATAAATTGCCAGATTCAAACTTTTGATGGTGGCTTTCAAAATCTAAAGAATTAGGTGGTAGCTATGTAAATATCCATAAATAAAAACTGTAGTATATCAAGCCCTAATGAGTTTCATGCTTAATAAATAATTGCAGATTGATAAAAGTGATGAAATGAAAATAAGGGCAGCCTCTTTCTGCAATATTTATCAATATCCAGGGATGACATGATTCAATTAGATCACATCAAGAACTCAAGTTTTTACTTCCAAATGGAAGACTAACCCAATAATCAAAATAATTATGAGGAATGACATAATAGGCTCGAAAAGGTTTTAGTTCAATCTTTATGCATTATGAAAGATCTTTTCCTGTTTATTATAAAGGAAATGATAGTTCTCAGGGTTGTTGATATTGAACAATAGATGTTCAATAATTTCAATTTATGTTTCTATTGAAAAAGAAAGGATAGATTAGTAAGGAATATGAGAAACTATCAAACTAACCTATGGTGCTATTTTTAATATTACAATGTGGGGGGCCATCAAATGAGGACATCCAATGGGCCAGTTCATTCTTTGTCACAATATACGACTTGGAGACATTTATGAATCTAATTTACATTCAGGTATGTTCTTAGTCCAGGAGATGTTAGATTCTGGTGAAAAAGTAAGGCCTACACAGTTCAATGCCAATGGGTTTACTGTGTTAAAAGCGCCAAAAATATAAAAAAAAACTAATTAAAAAAAGTCTAAGAGCTTGTTGATCAGAAGCTTGATCAAGTTGTGTGTGAACCGGGGGGGGGGGGGGGGGGGGGGGGGGGGGCGCTAAAGATGATTGAGCAGGAAAAAATGAGGTATGGTTGATTTCATGAGGCTAGTCTCAGGACTTAGCGTTATGATTTATGCTAGAACTAAGTGGTGAATGAAGAAGAAAACAAGTAAAACACTAAGGAAACTTAGACAACAAATAAAATACTAATGAAACTTTATTTCACAATAACAATAAAGTTATAGAATAAAGAAATCAAACAAAAAAAAGGACTTGCAGGGACATGCTTTCCTAAAGTGCTTGCTACACCCATTTGGTTTAGTTTGCTCATAGGTTTCTCAGCAATACAATTTCTAAGATGCAACAAGACTTAAGAGTGGGCCAGTAGCAAGCTTGATGGAATTTTGTAGGCTCTTTGCAACTCTTGTTTTATGGGAAAAGAAAGAAAACTCTTCATGTCTTTAGATTAAAGTATCAAAAGATAACTCTTCACCACCAGCCAGTAAACCATTAGAAACCAGAGTTTGCTTCCATAACCAACCAAGCCACAAGCCTTTAGCAATGCCAACGGCTACAAGATATTGGGGTTGAACTAGACAGCCAGCCACAAGCCTTTAGCAATGCCAACGGCTACAAGATATTGGGGTTGAACTAGACAGCCATAGCCAAATAAAAACCCCATTTATACTAGTGAAACTTGGATATCTACCCACATCTAACGACCTCAAGAACAAAGATATATAACAACCAAATAATTTTCCAATACCAACAATGTGCAAGGGTAAATCTCAGCACAAGACATACAAGGGAGGAAACAGGTTGCTCGGTCAACTCACATAAAACAAAAAATTCCACTAATTCCTGATCGAAAAAGCCCAGAGTTCATTTTGCCACTTGAAGTTAACCAGTCCTTAATAAAGTTAGTTTGTGTTCGACCAGAATAGATAATCCAAGCATGTGACTTCGTAAACGAGATAAAGCATTTCATCCCAAGTGTATAAGGACTTTTTCCAGCATGTACCTCAAGGGATTTTAGGGCGCATGATACGGTCAAAATGCTGATTAGAGGATTCATGAGTAGCGCGAGTTTTTGATTTTTCTCTGGAGAGAGCAAAAGTGGTGAGAGATCTAGTTACAAAAAATTTATTTCTCGTAGTGAGTTACATGATAATTTTCCAAGATGTAAAAAATCACATCTTTACCTCGCAGAAAACAATGCAAACAAGTGATACAATTTCTTTAAAATGTTAAAAGAATTAGGGCTTTTACCGCTGATTTGCCGCATCCACGAGGACCGAGAAGGAGTACAGAGTTGTTGCAGGCCTCCGATATGGAGTTCGCGATAAGAAACTTCAGCTTGCTGTGATTTTAGGGGGAATCCCAATTTTCATCAGAAATTTCAAATAGAATGTGAGAGTTTGAGAGAGGAAACCTAGATTAGGGTTTCGATCGGTACCTGTAGTTGGAATCAGGGGAAGATTTGAAGGCGGAGTGGACGAAATTACGGTTGCAGAGCCTCGAGCGCAGGAGGGCTAGGGTTTTCTCTGACGCCATTGGGGCTGCGAAAAGAGGAGAATCGGCGGGAAAATAAAGACGGCTCTGGAATTTTACAATGGCTTAATTGCGTTTTGATACCTCAAAGTTTCGTTCATTCTAAACTTAGGTAACTCAAAGTTTATTTTTACCGATTTGATACCCCATAGTTTCACTCAGTTTAAACTTTGATACATCCAAAGTTTATCTTTGCTTATTTCTACCTTAATATTTCAGAAAAATTAAACTGTGGTATCCTTTGTTTGTTCCACTCTTTAGTTTTTCCTATTAAATCCGCATTATAACAATTGACCTGATTTACACCTTGTTTGGATTGAGAGGAATAAGGGAGAAGGGAAGTTAGGGGAACCATTCACCTTGTTTGGGAACACTTAGGAGGTGAAGTTATTCACCCTAGCTTCCCTTAGTTCACCCCTTAATAGTATAAAATTTGCTACCCCTCAAATTGGGGTGTAACTGAAAAGAAAGGAACTCACTTACTTTCCCTTCTCTTCTTTCACATAGCTTCCCTTAACTTCCCTTAACCCCATTGAAATCCAAACACGCCATTAGACTTTTATGCCAATGTAGTCATTATATAATGACGCCCCAGAAATGACTGAATATTGCAATTCCCAAAACATTGTTCTTTCAATTTAACATAAAAATAATCAATCCCCAAAACATTGAAGTATCAAACGGAAAAATAATAAACCCTGGATATTAAAATTCTAAATGGCAAAACTTTGGGATATCAAATGGACAAAAATATATTTGGGGTGTCAGAGTTTAAAGAGTGTTGGGGTATCAAATGTCTGAAACTAAACTTTTTGAGGTACTATATTTCAAAATGGGTGAAACTTTGAAGTACCAAAGTGCAATTAAGCCCTCTATATTTGGATCCAGTCATGTGCAGTGCGTTCCCTTCAGGGATTCTGGGATCATGCTCGCAGGGTAACGGTGAATGGGGGTTGTTATCAAGGGCGAATGGGTTTATATTTAAAAAGCTATTCTGGACAAGAAGCCCATGGGCTATTCCTAGATAGCGGACATGTCAGTTTTTTTGCTAAAATAGCACTTAAATACCTCATAGTTTCCCTCACTTCGCACTTATATATCTTCACTCATTTTTCGTTGTTAAAATTTAGCAAGCTAATAGTCTTTATTATGCAAACATGAAAATTTTTATCTGAATATTATTATATTGCACTCGCATGCTAAGGTTAATTTTTTTTAACCATTATATATGTTAAATTAGTGTTAGACCTATCCCAATTTAATTTAAAAATAAATAGAATCGAGATAAGTTTCAAATAGAACTTTTCTAGGTTTAATAGTTAATTCCAGAGGCTTAAAATTAGCTTATTCATATGATAACATTCACGTGAAAATTTTCACTTTTGCAAAATAGAGGATACTAACTTGTCATAGTACTTTAAACAACATAGGGTATATAGATGTTACGAAAAAAAACAACAGTGTATGTGTTCATCACTAGTAAACAGATAGCTAGGAATTTATGATCAGCACCATGCATATCTTATCCAGCTTCCTATTATATCTGTATATGCTTTTTTCTTATCCGATTTATGTTGAACATGGACTATGAATCGTCTGTTGGTCTAGAATTCTATTTTGATAATTATCCAACATCTCATTCAACCAAATAATGCATGCATCCATCACTACCAAAAATTAATATCGGATGCAAATATATATAGCACCGTACGGGATCCACTTCATGAGGATTTTGTGCGCACCAAGCAAATCCTCCCATCACGAAACCCGCCACGTGTAACATGAGGCCATGAGCCCCATAAGCCGAACCTCAGCGAGCCAATGGGAGACCACCCCTTATCCAATCCCCTTATCTCTCCCAACTCCAAACAACCACATAATAAGCGATCAAAACCCAAACAGGGAGCGAGTGATCAGAGGAGAAGACTGAACGAATAAAAATCATGGCACTGCAGGCTGCAGCCACGTTGGTCCCGGCCAAGTTCTCGGCCGGCCAGCAACTCAACGTCAAGCCCTCTTCGAGCTCGCACCTCTGCAAGGCCTTCGGCTTCGAGGCCCCGGCGTCCGCAAGGCTCACTTGCTCCCTGCGCTCTGACGTCAGGGATTTGGCTCAGAAGTGTGCTGACGCCGCCAAGCTTGCAGGGTTCGCGCTTGCTACGTCTGCTCTCCTCGCTTCGGTAGAGATCTCTCCTTTACTTCTCTGTCCACGTAGTTCATGATATTGAAATTATCACGGCTACAGAATGTATACCAAAGTAACAGTCAACGAATAGAGCATGTTATCAATGATACTAGAAACTTATAATTTTGGTCTTTTCTTGACTCAGGAACAACCAAAAGTTAAGTAGAAGCTGATTTCTAATTGATAACTTGGAGCTATAATTGACGTATCAACTTCTTATACGTACCTTGTTCGATTCGTTAATTAATGTGAAAAAAGAACATGAATATAATAAATTAATTGTGATTGAGGGAATGGTATCTCCACAGTGTAGTTACTTACATGAGAATCTGAACCCCAAGATTAATATGGATATATTTAGCTACAGTTATACTTTTCTTCTTCTTTTTTTGTTAATTAAAAATGATGTTTCTATTCATTTTAGATACGTACTTATCGATAAATTATTTTCACGCTTGTTAGAAGTAGCTAGAACTTGATCACATGGTTCCAACTCTGTTCAAATTTCCACACACATTTCTGGATTGAAGAATTGCCGCTATTAGGACTGCGAAATGGTACAGCAACAAGAATTAAAACCTCATAATATTACAAATATAGTTGCAAATTTGCATGATCAATGGTAATTCATCGCGAAAACAATTTCCATTTATGCGACAGGGAGCCAACGCCGAGGGCGTGCCAAAACGCCTAACCTACGACGAGATCCAAAGCAAAACCTACATGGAAGTCAAAGGAACCGGCACCGCCAACCAATGCCCGACCATCGACGGCGGCTCCGACACCTTCACCTTCAAATCCGGCAAGTACACCATGAAGAAGCTCTGCCTCGAGCCCACCTCCTTCACCGTCAAGGCCGAGGGCATCGCCAAGAACTCCCCTCCCGAGTTCCAACCCACAAAACTCATGACCCGCCTCACCTACACCCTCGACGAGATCGAGGGCCCCTTCGAGGTCTCCTCCGACGGAGCCGTGAAATTCGAGGAGAAGGACGGCATCGACTACGCGGCTGTCACGGTTCAGCTCCCCGGAGGGGAGAGAGTCCCGTTCTTGTTCACGGTCAAGCAACTTGTCGCCTCGGGCAAGCCCCAGGAGTTTGGTGGGCAGTTCTTGGTGCCGAGCTACCGAGGGTCGTCGTTTCTCGACCCAAAGGGCCGAGGTGGGTCGACTGGGTACGACAACGCGGTGGCATTGCCAGCTGGTGGACGAGGAGACGAGGAGGAGCTGAAGAAGGAGAACATAAAGGAAACGTCGTCGAGCGTTGGGAACATAAAGCTGAGCGTGACGAAGACGAAGCCGGAGACCGGGGAGCTCATCGGGGTGTTTGAGAGCGTGCAGCCTTCGGATACCGATCTGGGAGCCAAGGCGCCCAAGGATGTCAAGATTCAGGGGGTTTGGTACGCGCAGCTTGAATAGTAGAGGGGGGTTTGTATCAACGGTGGGGG